AGGCACCCCTGGGTGTTGGTTTAGAGTAGGGTTGTTTTGTTCATGTGCCCCCCCCCCAGCGGCACAGCGGTATGTCCGCGGACTTACAACGCTAGAATCCGTGTTTCGATGCTCGTGGTGGGCAGAGCACAGATAACCCATTATGTAGCTTTGTGCTTAATTACAAAAAGCAACAACTACAACTCTTCATGTATAGAGAAAGCTGATATAATATTAGGAAAAACCAGAATAATAGTTTGAATTAGGGAATTCAATAAATATTTAACATTCAACTACAAAGACTATATGTCACAATGGTTACATCTCTCAAGTATCATGTTAAAGCCTTGCGCTCAAATTCCAGTCGAGTCGGGATTTTATGATAATTTTTTTATATTTATTTTTAAGTATTTATCATCATATTTGAAGGAAGCTCTTTGAATAGTCAGAAAAATACGAATGTCATTATAAATTAATTCAGGGATCATATCATATTGCATATATGTCTAGATAAAACACAACTTAAATATATTTTCAACCCAATAAACAGCAACAATATGTTATTATTATTGATATTTTCCAACTTACCTGAGAGATTCTTAAATATTTATTCGAAAATTTTATAAAAAATTTTTGGTAAAAGTTACACCTTCGTGTAGTTGCCCTTCACCCTCAATTCTCTGCCTATACCATCAAAATTAATAAATCGAAGGGTCAGACATTTGACCCTGTAAGAATATTTCTTCGATAATTCGTTTTTCGCATGGTTCAATCCATAAAACTTTATCAAGAGGAAGGTCCGAAAATAACATAAAAATATACATAAGTCAAAATTCTAATCAAGGACCACTTATAGATGATGACCAAATATATATAGAAATGTTGTTTTTGTAAAATAATAGAAAAAGGATAAACATTCTCCATACACATCTTGTTACTAAAATATAATTAATTTCTAGAAAACATGTTCATAAAACATTTATTTATATTCATTTTTCAGAAGAGAAATTAATCAGCATTTACCGTCATATTACAGGCATTCAACTAGTCGTAAGATAAACCCTGCTGTAATATATAACCATGTGTATGTGGCTGAGTTTTTTAATAAGTTAATAAATTAGTTACCTCGTGTACTTAGGGAAACATTGTTCATCATAATAGAAGTACTTAGAAGGATTTGATGAAATGTCAATATAAAGTATACAGCCTTAATTTGATATGATAAATTTTAACAGTCCGGAAAATTATCCATACTATTTATTACATATGTCCGGACACTAAGTTGTTTCTATACAGTAATTCCTATTTGATGATACGAAATCGTCATTATTACCATTCATTAAACATAGTTCTGCGTGTGTTTAAAGTTATCTATTTCATCACGATCGTAAGATCGATAAGGGAATGATAAATTACTCTTTACCTGAAGTATGAGCAGTCAATCTCAAAAATTATCCTAGTCAAAACCTAGATATTGGAATGGGGTAATGCATCAGAAAAATATTCCAATACCTAAAGAAGACTTGAAACACTGACTGCCTGAGTGACATTCTATATTTGATCAATTTTCCCATACATTTTAAAGCAGTTACTCGTCTTTTATATTTACGATAAATATTACATTTTGTTTATTAGTCATTGCTCCATATTAACGCTCTTGTTATGCTCTTTAACTATTGAAAGTATTTCACTCTCAGAATGGTTTATTAACATTGAAGCTGTGCAATAAAGTTCAGTAGTTTAACTAAGCTTCCGTTTATTTGGTAAAAGAACATAAAGGTTTCAATCAAATATCTAAAAAAAAAAAGATAACAGCTAGTAACGATAACACTATCATCAAAAATGGCATTCACCAATCAAAATCATTTCTGATTCATTCACTTTTTGTGAATTAAATCACTGATTGAATCTATTTTTCATATGGTTGTAATCGGGCATAACCTAGTGGTTAGCGCACTCACACTCTGGATCAGAAGGTTCATGGTTCACGGTCCGGTGCCACAAAAATATGCTCCCATTTTAGGGGTCGTGGCTATTATAAGAGTGACGGTCAAATCTCTCTATTCAGTCAAAAAGCTGGAAGTGAGTGCTGACTACCTGACTTCCCTATATCAGCTCAAAATAATAAATTCTTCCAATACAACAACAGTAAAGTAATTGATCTATGTTATTGTTTCTTTTTAATCCATTGAATTTGTGCAATAGGGTGTTTTTTGTTGCACAAAATCCTGAAAATAATCCACTATAAAAGATGTTTTGATGGAAAAGCAAGCCTAACTATATTTATATTGTTCAATATTATTCATATTAAAAACTTGTTATTCCTACCTGAAGGTACAATACCAGTTTACACATGACAGCACCGAAGAACCAAGTTTCAGTGACATCCCATAGAACAGACGGTGGCAGACAAATCAGGATCACCAGAAAATCGGCTACTGCTAGGTTGGCAATGAAGTAATTGGTTACGGTTTGCATGGTGTTGTTCCGGTACACAGATATACAAACCAGAGCATTTCCCATCAACCCCACCACGAATACGCAGAAGTGGAAGAAAATCAGTGTCCACTCATAACGAGTAGGGAAAATGTATTCTTCAATAAGGTCAATGTAGTCTTCGTCCGATATGCAGTAAGAATTCGTGCAAAGCTCAGTGGTATTTGTTTCATTGTTGTTGTTAGTAGTATTTGAATCATAAAGTTCAGGCCATGTTATGATTTCCACTTCACTTTTGTCCATCTTTAACGGAGAGTAGATACTAGATAAAACAGCATGATACATTTTTAAAACTTACTTTGTTAAAGTCTAATATCATTTAGTATTAGAAAAAAGTAACAAAAAGCTGTCACAATCATAGAATCCCTACCTTAAATATGAATTAAAACTAAAATAGTCTTAAGAAAATATGAAATGATTTCATTCTTAACAGCAAAATTGAATAGGAAGTTCTATTTAAGCATGAGGATTACAGTCACAGAAATATAGAAATTTTAACGATTCATTATAATCGCGTTGTTTCGTTCTCAGCTCTATAAACTACAAATAACAATAATTACTAATTTGGTTGGTTTGTTTCACATTATAAAACAATGGTGTGAAACTTTCAAGCAAAAAACATTTACAATATTTGAGAAAGAAACAATCTCCAAGAATTGTAATATCGTTATATTAAACGATTAACATATCTTCCCTCGGTGACTCAGCGACAAGCTTAAGGGCTTATAAAGCTAAAATTCATGGTTTGTTTCTTGGGGTTGGAACAGTGCAGATAGCCCATTGTGCAGCTTTTCACTCATCAGTGAACAAACAAACGATTATCCTTAACACAAAATAAAATAATGATGACAAATATATAAATAGACAAAACGCTTCTCGCACAAACTTGTATTTGGTGTATGTAAAAACCAAAGCTTTTTCTTCGTTATGTTTGAAATAGATTAGGCTTAACTTTATTTTATATCATTTTACTTAAGACGAAGGTAAGTATAGATTTCAGATTTCTCGCAATCATTACCAAAGTAGAAAATAAGTTATTTAAATATAATTATAATAATCACAATCCTTATTTATCCATATTAAGCTTTAGCAAACTATGTAGGAACAGAGAAGTATAGCCTCACACAGGAGAGCAACGGGTTCACTCTATGCGTCTACTAGAAACTTTATACTTTCCTGTACAACAATGAATTATATGGTGGAACAAACTGGTGGCAAGAAAGACATTATCATGCAACTTTTCTACTAACTAAAGTACGAAAAAGATAAAAAGTTCCATAACCTAACCATATATTATGAAAATTATATGACAGTTTAATTTTTGTAACTGGTAAAATGCTGTTTTTAACACCTCATGAACACATTAACTAATTTACTTTTTTTTTCTGATACAGCAGTATTTTGATGTAGAACCAAGTCTTAAATTTTGTAAAATGTGTAAAATTTGGTTCTCGATCAATTGTAAATCATACAAAGCCATTTTATACGGTAGTTAAAATTTTTAAATTATATTTTTTTATTAGACTGCTATTAGTTTTCGGGTATATAAAATGTCATAAGCAAAACACGGCTACTAAAATATTACGTTGGCCTCATTAAGTCTTTGCTTATTATAATTAATTAATAGTAGTATACTGTACATATTTTGCTATTTTTATTTGTAGTTATACACAAAGCTACACAATAGGCTATCTGTGCTCTGCCCACCACGGGTATCGAAACCCGGTTTCTAGCATTGTAAGTCCGCAGATATACCGCTGTGTCACTGGGGGGGGGGGGTGTTATTTTGGATTAAAAATCCATACCAAAACGAATTTGGAATAACAAGACAAATAAGAAGTTCACAAAGGTTTGTTTTTCAATGTCGTGCTAAGCTAGTTTAGGGCTATGTGCACTAGTCGTTCCTAATTTTGAAGTGATAGACCATGAAAGACAATTGGTCAACACCATCGACATCCAACGGTTGGATTACTCTTTAAAAAAGAATAGTGGAATTGACCGCCACCTTATAACTTCCCCACGGCTGAAAGAGCGAGAATGTGCGGTAACATATTTCGATCTCATTACCTAACCATTACACCATACCATTCTATTTCATTAAGGAATTGTAAAAATGTTTTCAAAAATGGCAAAACGGATTTAACTGAATAGTGGCTGAACCACTCGTTATCTGATTGAAGTAAATGCACATTACTGATTTAATTTATTTTTCACTAGTTTATTTTCATTTCATCACACGATTTTTGCTGTTCTCCGGTTGTTGGGTTTGTAAGTGACATAGTAAATTTCATTTTCCTTTCACGACTTTTAAACTTGATTTCTTTGCTTTTTGAACAAGTCTTTGTCGTGTGAAGCATCAAGCGCGATAAGTGGAAAAGGATGCTATGCTACATCGATATTGCAAAAGGATGCTGTGCTGTGCCAACATTGGCACTGGAATAAATAAATACAATTGGCGCCAACCTTTATCGAACTAACCACTTTTAGTTTGCCACTTCACGCTTTTGATAGTTACATCATATAAAAATTAGGCGCTTAATCATAACTTTTTTGTATTTGCGACGGACAATTAGACTTTCAACCTTTGTTTCTTTTGAAGAATAGAACATTCGTTTCATGTGATCTGTAGAAGTCAACTCACAAAGTATTTCTTTGCAGATTAAAATAAATTCCCCATAAAAATAGAATGAAGAATACAGCACTAAGAGAAAGAGATCTCAAAAGTTGAAGGTTGTAACACGTAGTGGGGAGAGAAAGAATCTCAGAGACCCGACGTTTTTAAATAAACACGGATATGCAGGTAGATATGCACACTAGGCTATCTGTGCTCTGCCCACCGCGGTTTCTAGCGTTGTAAGTCCACTGACATACCGCTGTTCCTCTGGGGGGGGGGGGGCTAAATAAATAGACAGATAGCTAGTTGATGTATAAAACAGTTGAAAAATACAGAGAGATAGCCAGGTGAAACATAAAACAATTTAACAAATACAGGGATACAGACAGATATAAGCCTAGTGAAATGAAGCAGAAAGAAAGACTGCTAGATGAAACACATGACAGTCTGTTAAAAAAAAAGAGATGCAAAATAGTTATATTTATGATAATTAGGTAAATATAGAACTGACAGCAGATTGAAAGTAAGTTAGTAAAATAAATTTTGAAATAGAAAAACAGAGAAAGATAGAGTGATGAACTTTTTCTTGATGAATAACTAGATGAATGAAAAATTAATATATGAATAATTTAACAAAGAGATATTTTCGTTTATTTTTATAGACGAAAATTACTTTCATCACTGCGTTGCGATAACACAAAAACTCAAAATGAGCTTCAAAGAGTTAAACGCGCAAAATTATGTTTATACAAATATTTAATGTTACGAAATTAACAATATAAATCAACTGTAATTATTCAAAAACTCAATGCATTTTTAACCAAGGTTGAAATATGTTCTAGTAAGTTCGAGTCCCTTTCGGTATAATCGTATATTGTTCACTTTGGAGTATTTAAGTTGTCACTTAAAGTATGTAATTGTGCCACTAACATAATATTTGCAACTGGCTCGCAGTCTGCAGTGCGTAAAATTCAGACTAGTTGGTTCACTGATGGATGGGAGAAAACACAGAAAGTGCATGTCAAGACTATCATCTGGACATAAGGCCAATCAGTGGTCAAGCTAAACAGGTAGATAACAAGCTTGTAATAGAGTTCCTGTATCAAATCCTGCACAACTCTACTGGTAAGAAGAACATCGAACACTCTGCATTAGTGAAGCCAAAACGTCAACCACGAAAATTCTTCATCGAAATTCAGAGATAATGAGACGGTTGGAAAATAAGGTAGCGAAAGTTGTTACTAGAGAAAGGAAAATACGTGAAATCAATAGGTAACACCACTGGTAATGTTAGCAAGGGAAATCTCTTCTACTTCCTTCTAGGCAGACGTTCTGCACGTGAGAGGTCAGCGCCTTTCGGCGCAACCCACGGAATGTTTAACCAAATACTCAGTTCATCTCGGGCTCGGCATGGCCAGGTGGTTAGGGCGCTCGACTCGTAATCTGAGGGTCACACCAAACATGCTCGCCCTTTCAGCCGTGGGGGCGTTATAATGTTAAGGTAAATCCCACTATTCGTTGGTAAAAAAGTACCCTAAGAGTTGGCGGTGGGTGGTGATAACTAGCTGCCTTCCCTCTAGTCTTACACTGCTAAATTAGGGACGGCTAACACAGATAGCCCTCGTGTAGCTTTGCACGAAATTCAAACAAACAAACAGTTCAACTCAAACTAAAAACTGAACTATCAGTTTCTCTTTAATTTCAGTTCTTTTCAATAATATTGTAGGGAACAATTAAGAACTTTTACCATACCTTGTTGATAAATAAACAAGTTAAGAGTAACAGTGATTATTAGATTATCGTAAGGGTATTAAAATGTTACTCTCAGGTTCAATAAAGCTTAATGGAACACTCATGGTTGTATTATTTGTTGAATTTTACCCAAAGCTACATGGCAAATATCTAGGTTAGGTGGTCATAACTGTTGCGCTATTGAATAGTGGGGTTTCATAGTCACTCTTATAAGAACCCATAGCCAAAAAAAAAAAGTGCAGACCGCGATTTCTTTTTTATCAGTACAAGAGATGCGAGCCTCAGTTAACCAGAAAGTTACTCAATGGGCTATCTGTGCTCTACGTTAGAGAGTATCGAAATCCGATTTTTATCTTGAAAAGCTCTCAGATTCACCGAGGGCCAATGATAGTAAAGAATGTTAAGGGTACTTGTAAAAGGAAACAATGGTTTCAGTTAGTCCAGCAAAAGTAAATGGCATAAAAAGTATTTATAACTGATGTACGATATTATATTTTCAGTTTGTTTGTTTGTTTTTTCAGCGGAAGTCAATAAAATGCATCGCGAATTCAGTTCGTACAAGGGAAGCAAATAACGTCTATGTTTTTGCAAAAGATGTGTGTTAGTGTGGATTCAGTTTTTTTTTATAGAAAAAATAACGTGACCGATTTTAATAAATATTGTATGATGTTATAAATTCAGTTTGCCCTATGGAAGTGAATAACATGGATAACATTTGTCCGGTATGTTAACTAATAATGGTTGTAAAAGTTCATCAGAACTAGGAAATTCGTGATAAAGAAGACGTAATTGAATTCTCATGTAAAATATACAAATCATAATTCTTTTTTAATTCCGAAAATATATATAATTTACTTCTTTTTTTCATGAAAAATTACTTGTGTCATTTACGTGAGGTGTCATTCAATAAAATACCATGCCTACAAGGAGAATAGATAAGTGTTCATCACAAAGTTCTGATTGAAGACGCTAAAAAATAATAATAAATCATAGAAATTTCGTCAACAATCTTATTTCTAGGATGAAGACACGGATATACTAATCAAACAGTCTTTTTTGCGATAACAGCTTATTCAACGAAAGTAAATAACGTGAAGGGCATTTTTGACAGCTGCATGATACTGTCGTTTCTGTTCAACCACCGGAAGTGAAGAACATGGAGGGTGTTTCAGTTTGTTCAACAGGAACAAATGATAATAATAAGTGTAACATTTGCACGATATTTTGTTTGGATTCAATGAAAGTAAATAACGCCAAGGATTTTCGTAACATTTTTATGATAATAGTTTCCGGTTTTTTTTTCCAACGAATTCAAACAACGAGAAGGGTATTTGTAACAATTGTATGATATTGTGGTATAACCTTTTCCAACGTAACTGAATAACGTCAAAGGTAGTTTTAACTGTTACGCAATACCGAGGCTTATGTTTAACCAATGTAATTAAATAAAACGAAATGTGTTTGTAGTAGTTGTATTATATTATGATTTCATGTTTTCAACGGAAATAAATAAAATTAAGAACATTTGTCGAAGTTCTATGCTTCCAGAGTTTCAATTTACACAATGGAAAAAAGTAATACGGAGGGTTTTTTGTAAATGTTTTAGGTTACTGTTATTTCACATTGTTCAACAAAAGTAAATAAAGTGGGTGGTATTTAACATTGCTATATGGTTTTACCAGTTTCACTTTGTTCAGATGAAGTAAGCGACATGGAGGGTGTTTCTTATAGTTTTATAATACTATGGTTTCAGTTTATTTAACGAAATAAAAAATGTGCAGGCTATTTGTAGCGTTGGTGTGATATTGTTACTTCACATTTGTCAGTGAACGTATTGTTGTCTTGTTGTTAACCAGAAAGTTACTCAATGGGCTATCTGTGCTCTACGTTAGAGAGTATCGAAACCCGATTTTTATCTTGAAAAGCTGTCAGATTCACCGCTGGGCCAATGATAGTAAAGAATGTTAAGGGTACTTGTAAAAGGAAACAATGGTTTCAGTTAGTCCAGCAAAAGTAAATGGCATAAAAAGTATTTATAACTGATGTACGATATTATATTTTCAGTTTGTTTGTTTGTTTTTTCAGCGGAAGTCAATAAAATGCATCGCGAATTCAGTTCGTACAAGGGAAGCAAATAACTTCTATGCTTTTGCAAAAGATGTGTGTTAGTGTGGATTCAGTTTTTTTTAATAGAAAAAATAACGTGAACGATTTTAATAAATATTGTATGATGTTATAAATTCAGTCTGCCCTATAGAAGTGAATAACATGGATGACATTTGTAGTTGTAGTATAAAAGTCGTTTCAAGTTCTTTAATGACATTTTCTTCTAACTATGACAATTGCGGGTATTTGTAACAATTGAACGACACCATTATATCAGTTTCTTTCAAACAAAGAGTAAGCGAAAGAGAGAATATTTGTAAAAACTGTATAGTATTATGATTAAGCATAAATCTACACAATGGGCTGTCTGTTATGTAGCCACCATGAGTATCAAAACCTGGTTTTTAGCGTTAGAAGTCTTCAGACATTTGGCTGAGCCACTAGGGAGCTACTGTGATGTAATAATTTGAAGTTTACTAAATGTTGAACCACTGCGAAGAAGTTAGAAACTAAAGAAACTTAGAAAATTAAGTAATTTTTAGGTTAAATGAAAAGTTGAACCAAGATCTAGGCAAAATTTAAAATTTTCTTAGCGATTGATGAAATTGATAAACGATATGTTTTACTAAGTTAAACAAAAAGTTAATATTTTAAAACCTTATCAATACATGAACAGTATTTGAAATAATGTTTCAATTCACTCCCATTTTTCTTTACTGATGGCGGCAAGAGTAAAACACCTCAAAGTATTCTAAGAATGGAAAGTAGCCTTTACCAATTTTTCATGTGTTCAGCAAATTTTCGACTCAATTCAAAAGTCTTTACCATACAACATTAGAACAGTAATATATGTGAGCTATTCGAAATCCTAAAGAAAGAATAGCTAACTGTTCTGCTCTGGTTAAGCTGTATATACTACATTTAAATTCCGGTTTCTGATTATCAAGAAAATATACATCATCATCATGTGCATACATATGTATATATCAAATGAAATGAGGCCTAAAATTTTGATTTTAATTATATTTACTGAGTATCTGCAAGAATAAAGAAAACACTTAAATAAGACGCCCAATACTTTTGTGTAGAATTATAAATGTACGAATAAGCTAACCACCATCATAAATCTTTAACGATGAATAATGTACGGAGCAGAATGAATACGTTGTGACACAATAAAAAGTATGAAAGAATAGAATTTTAAGACAGACATTATAGAAATGTTATTTTGTCGTATACAATTAAAATTAAATCTGTAATTACTCAAATTCTACTGAAGTTTAAATCGCTCTTAACTGATTCGTCCATTTTTTTTATTCATACAAAACTGTAAAAATACTTGCCAGCTTTTTATGTCAGTGAGATTATTTGACTTAATCCTTTAAAAGAACGCTAAACAAAATCAGTTTAAAATGTGTTTTTGAAAACATCAAAGGCCCAGTATTTATCCTATAGTACTATTTTTTACGATTAATCTATTTATGTGAAAATTGCATATTGAATACGAGAAATGACATCATAAACAGTTAACCAAGTAAAGTATTACCTGTTTGGCAATACACAGCTTTTTTTTAAATGTTCACGTTAAGCTACCAGAAAAAGAATCCGCCAGATTATGGTAATCTTTATATCAACGATTAAGAATATAAAATGTACATCTAATTGCAGCCTTGTTTTTAATATTAATGTTGTAAAATTTACGAGAACCATTTATCGACATGATTTCTTCTGATCCCTCTTTCTAAGCTTTCATTTAAGAGAGAACTCCGTGCTAACTGTTGGTGACTTCGTATACATGAGTGTTACAATATTGTTTCATAGGTTTCAGTGAAATTATCTCCCAAATTATTATACATTTCCCTCAGTGTATCAACTAATATCGGGCTCTAAAAAATAAACTGATACAGTTATGTTTATTAAGGTTAAACGGTTTCCCAAAGATCGAATCCCAGTGTAACATTGAGGAAAATAACATTACTTTTCTTGTTTCTTTTGCAGTTTTTTAGATAATGATATTGAGTATTGATGAATATGTGTAGATGATCTGGATTAGACGTCTTCAGTACCGTATAAATTTTAAAGGCGGACATTTCGTGAAAGTTGTGTAAACGTGTATAAACATTTAGCCTATGGCAACTGACCTTTAGAACATCCTGTAGGTAAGATTATCTAAAGCTTCTAATGAAGGTCAGTAACATTTTTTTTCAAGCAACGGAATTTTGTAAAACATTTTGCATACCATCCAGTATGAAAAACCATTTACTTATCATTGAAGACTAGTGAACAGTTAGATTAATTAAAGTCATAACGGCGTTAAGTATATTTTGCGTGAATTTAAGTTACTACGTTAATTGTATGCACCTAACATTAATAAAGATAATTAGGGACTTCATTAATTTGCTTTCTTAGAGTATTTTATAACAGAATTATCTCAGAAATAAGGTATTTTCATAAGCATAGATATTTAAAATAATAATTAAATATGATGCAAATAATATATTTATTAGAAACATTTGATTAGATTTAGATTTTTTTAAATTATATTTAAAGCTACAAATAAAATATACACCTCACACACACACACACACACCTCTATGAATATACGTAAAAAAAAACTTAATAAATGAAAATGTACCATAAAATAATAGAAAAAACACCGCCTTTATTCTATTCTAATATTAAAAAAGAACTTCTATTAAAAACGTACCAAACAATAAGGAATTTCAGTTTTATTCTTCAGGCTATCAGACGACTTCTCTTTAGGATTTTATATCAGGTCTGTGTGCCAGTCAGAAAGCCACCGGTGGTGAAGTGTAAACTTCTCCGTCTGCCTACCTTGGTTACAGTTCTGTTCCTCCGTTGTTACATCCAGTGATGTCATTTAACAAACTGAGAATGCGCTGTTTCTGTTGACGTCAGATACATCTGCGCTAGCCTTCCTTATTTTGAATTGATAGACTAGAGGGAAGGCAGCAACACCCACAACCAACTCTGTGGTCACCCTAATTGAATAGTAAGATTTCACCGCTAATCTTACGACTTACCCACCGCCTTAAATTTTTGAGCATGATTTTCTGCTAAAAGGACGCGAACCATGTACTCTTGGATTCGCAGTCTGGCAAGCTAACCACTGGATTATACCTGGTCCAAATCTGCCTGGCCTTGTTCTTGTAATTTTCTTACAAATTAACAAAGGTATGGCTACACTTGTAGATTTATAGAGGTCTGAGAATCATTTGATATATTTCATGATCAGTTTGGTTTGCAGATGCAAATAACTAGAGTATTCTACAATCGCGGGTGTCGTAAGGATGCTACCAAAAGAGTAGAAAGTAATAATCCAGTTTTTGTATAATGTCGCTAGAACAAGAATAAAACATAATAATAATGTATTATATAATGACAGAGTTTAATGACTCATTGTTGGAAGAATATCGGCGATAAGATAATAAAAACGAACAGTGTATTTTGTTCTATTTAATATTCATCCAATTATTTCATAACTTTGGTGAAATAATAAATGAAAAGAAAAATGAAGAACATGACATTTCTTCAAAGAAGGATAAAATAATGGTTCAGTATATAATACAGACAAAAATGAAAGTTTTCCACTGCTAATTCTAAGAAACACGAACAAAATACACACAAAAAATGCTCAAATTAATGAGGTGATATTTAGAAATATTACTTTTCAGTCATAGTATGGGCAGTTTAATTTATTCCAGTAAGTATGAATTATTGAGGTTAAATGATAACGTAGCTCTTTCTATATTGCATTTGCAAACATAGCTAATTGGGATGAAGCATCAAGACCAATTACTAACATTTTTAGCAGTGAGTACTGAACAGATCAGAGGTAGTTAACATGAACTCAGTAACTATAAATTAGTATAAAACAGACTTACATCACCCAAATTTAAAAGTATACAGTAAAGTTAACCGAAATATTCTTAGATATTTAATTTAGAGAGAATTTTCAACAATACTACACATTTTAGCATGGTGTCAAATCATATGTAAAGTAAATGAAGATCTCGTTTAAGTAAAAATTCTCAGAAATAATAAATGTTACCCTCTGTGTACCTTATCAAATTTAATTATGCCTTTTATGTGAAAGTCTTAATTTGTTATTTACGTTTTACGAAAACGAGTCATTTTAAAATATAATGTTTTAAATTGTGGCTGATTGCAGATCTTGATAACTTATTCAACATCTTGAAAAGTTAAATGTAATATGAAATTCAGATGAGCTACAAGCCAAAAAATCATATGTCCAATATGAAAAACATCACCTTCAGTCAGGCAGAAATGAGTCTTAGGAATGAACTAGCAACTCTTATTGGTCTACTTAGGTTGATATAATGGCATGATACCTCCCAGATAGCGGAGGGGTGGTAAGTAAAGCACTAAAAAAAATTCCAAGAAAAGATCTTTAGATAATTTGACCCCCCTTTTTCTTTTTCTATAAGTACTTAAAACAGTAATGTTACAAAAAAAATCCAGAAACTTGTTATATTGTTTTCCTTACAATATATTTACCTCACAATAAGTTTGACTTCCACAGCACTATTTATAAGATTTACCACTACTTACGTCTCTTTCCCTATCACTAGACTAATCAAGAGATTTAAACTTATAAACTCTTCCCAGTTTGAGAACGAACACTATAATTTTTCTAACAATTTTTAGATCTAATATAAGGCGGAAATATCAGAAATGTCTTCATTGATTTTTTAAATTTATTTTCATTGTGCAGTTTTGGAAGTCCATTTTTTTTATTCGTGGACGTAACAATAACATTTCTTCTTTCATTTCTGAACATTTCTTAAACTTTCAATGTGTAATGTTTTGTATAATTTTATAACCCGCGCAAACACTTTGTAACATAAAATTATTTGAATTGATCACATATTATAAGAAAAACATATTTATTTGTCATAGATAATGGTATGTATTTACATACGTATATTAGTTATTCAATAATAAGATATTTTTTATTTCTGTTGAATGACAAGGTCATTTGATATAACATACATCTGCAACTGAACCAAAATATTTAATCCAAAGTCTACATCTTTAACTCACTTTCAACATCAGTATCTGTTTAGACTGTAAAATCTATACTGAGCAAGTACATTTAACCGTGTATAATGTTATAAAGAAACAAGTCAAATCGATCTGAGAGACAACACAACGTAAATGCAACAGGAGTGGTTTTGTCAGGTTATAAAACGAAGCACAACAATAGAAAAAAGTTTCTGAATATATAAATTTCATGTTAACTTGAGTTTCTACAAACAGAAGTATCATTATCAATTCAAAGCTCTCATAAAAGTTGTACTTGAAATATTGTACTTTAAAAGTGTATAATACCACAGTGATATTGACTGAACGTGACTTAGTAGTCAAAGTGCCAGGCTTCGGATCGGAAAGTCGAAGAATCGAGTTCGCGATCTCCTACTGAAATCGCTCCATACTTTCTGCTATTGGCAGGTTATAAAAGCGACAGCCAATCCAGCTATTCGATTAAGAGTAGCTATTGTATGTGCTGCTGATTGGCTATCCTCACTCTACTCAGCATTTACAGATTAGAGACGGTTATCACTCAACTTTGTGGTCTCTGACTTTGCCGTTTATTCTATATCCTTGTGATAAGATAAAATATACAGATTAGCTCTGTAACTAGTAAAAAATAAGCTACTTGTTTCACTTAATCGATTATTAATATTATATTTGTACAGCAGAAATATCGTATGGTATAAGAATACGGTTTCCGTCCTTGGTTGTTTTAACTACATTCATTTGTAAAACTAATTGACACGTAACAATGAAAATTAAAAACCTATAATTAAAACCATGGTATTTGATTTATCATAAAATATAAATGCATGATACAATATAAAGTATTTCAAAATACGGATTAGTTTTTCGAAAGAAACCTCTCGGCTTATCTATATAATTTGGATTTAGGTGTGGCTAAGATGGTTATCTAATATTTTTTAGGTAAAGCAATTTGTTGCGAAGCGCAGTATTAGTCCTTATGTTATAACCCGGGCTCGAATTACCGGAAGGGTTGGGTAGGTCGAACCCCCCGAATAAAACGCGCAACACATTCAGCCTATTAAGTTGTTTAGCAACTGGGGGTGGAGTTTCTTCTGAATATAGACTTGGAAATAAAACATATTAAGTTTGAACTCTCCCATCCTAGAAATTCGAGCCTTGGTTATAAGTACAAATGTTTTGCTGGTTCCATTGCGAATTCATTAAGTAAAAACAAAAAATATTTCTATTTTTTCACTTAAATATTTTTTGAAATTAAACTGTAAAGCATTTAGATCCACCCTTACGAAGTTATATTTTCTTAATACATTAGTTTTAAACATAAATGTTTTTTATTTCGATATCCTAATTGTTCATAATGAAAACAACTGAAATAAACGATTTCATTTAGTGTATAGCAATATTTTAAGCAATATTTTTATTGTAGTACTATCTATAACCTCCAGAAGTTCCTGACGAGCTTCAGTTATTGTTAAGGATTTTATTTATTTTTAAATGTAATACGTTTTCATTAAGCTAAAAATCACTTATTTCTCACAGTTTTTATACAAAATAGTTATTTAATTAAGACTCAAAGCCTTTATTGAAGCTTGATGATTTTTATCACAAAATTAATCCCCTATGATAATAAATAAACGAGATTCTTGTGTATTTCAGATATTATTAATAAACCAAATTAACTTAATAAAGAACATATTTCTTATGAGAGAATATCTGGAGCTAAACGATAAATAAACAATATTTGGAGAGAGTTTAGCGTTTCATATATGAAATGACTCTGAAAGTTTGCATATAATAATTGATCCTGGTGGAGTGTTCATTACCTTGACGTCTAAAGGAAAAATGAAGTAGCTAATCAATTGTTATCACCTCAGTGTTGGAGATGACTTTGAACTCGTTCAAGAATTATGGATCAAGAGAAGACTTCTACGTTTCAACAGCATTAAATAACTTTATTAACACGAAGACACGAACAGCTGTGGGAAAGTGTAGGAAAAAGTTTATTACACGAATAACTATCTATTTATGCCTCAGACTAGGAGTACAGTTAGGTCGCTCTTGGAAGAGAGTGTCGGGTTATTATTATTTCTTTGCAATAGATAGAACGCTGATTTTAAGGAAATATGATAGGTTTTAGATTATCGTTATATATGGGTTGTCACAAAAGCGACGACATTTTCCTGTTTATTAATCAACCATTTTTTTTTCTATAGATTTACTGCTATGCAATACGCTATTCTTTATGTTGGCGTGGTGTGATATCTTATTACACTGTTGAAATAAATAATAGTTTAGCGTTAGTTTACAGTTATAGATTATACTGTTATTATTTATTGGTTAAGTCCAACCAGTAAGCCTAAAATCATGCACTATAAATATAATATGATTATGAGACACCAAAGACATAAAACTTATGCTTTCTTCAACTAACTTTTTCTTTTGGACAAAGTTTATCTGCCTTCTTCACAGCCCAAAAATAAATACCGGTATTGTCATCGCCAAGTAGCGCATTGTTGGATCCTTCGATATTTTATCCTGACTCATCTTTGGTCCAATCGTGGCTTAGTGATTAGCGTGTTGGACTGTAAGCTGAAGTTCTGTTGCTCGCGAACCGTTACAACCAAAAACATCGTGCTCCGTACTATAGGGCAAACCCCACTATTCAGTCTGCAAAGCTTAACCCGAAAGATGG